GGACTGCCTTTCTTGAATCCCATAGATTTTGATAGCTTTGTCCCATTTGTCACTGAGTTCAAGAAATCTTTTGATTTCCATCTTAATTTCATCATTGACCCAATAATAGTTCAGTAGCAGGTTGTTCAATTTCCATGATGTTGTGTAGATCCGAGTGTAGATCTCTTGGAATTGATATCTAGTTTTATTCCACTGTGCTCTGAGAAGATATATGGTATGATTTTGATTATTTTGAATTTGTTGGCACATGTTTTGTGACCTATGGTATGATTTTGATTTTTTTGAATTTATTGAGATATGTTTTCTGGCCTAAGGTATGATCAATCTTGGAGAATGTCCCATGTGCTGATGAGAAGAATGTATATTCAGTAGTTTTTGGGCAGAATGTTCTGTAAATATCTGTTAGGTCCATTTGTTTTAGGGCCTCATTTAAGCTCACTGTTTCTTTATTTACTTTCTGCTTCGATGATCTGTGCAGCTCTGACAGTTGGATGTTGAAGTCTCTGGCAATTATGATGCTAGTATTTATCTCTTTGCTTAGATGTAGTAGAATTTTCTTTATGAATCTGGGAGCTCCTATGTTAGGTTGATATGTATTTAGGATTGTTATGTCTTCTTTCTGAATTGCTCCCTTTACCCCTATATAATGACCATCTTTGTCTTTCTTTACCATTGTTGATTTAAAGACAATTTTATCTGATATGAGAATGGCTATACCTGCTCTCTTTTGGTTTCTGTTTGCATGGTATATAATTATACATCCCTTCACCTTGAGTCTGTGTGAGTTCTTGTGGGTTAGATGTGTTTCCTGGAGACAGCAGATACATAGGTTGTGTTTTTTCATTTATTCAGCGAGCCTGTGTCTTTTGAGTGGAGCATTCAGACTGTTGACAGATAATATTGATATGTGGGATGCTGATTTGTTCATGTTGGGTAATACTTTATTGCTTTGTTTTCACTCTTGAGCTTTTGTCTTATATGAGCTGTGAGCTTTAGCTTTTGGGTGATTTTATGCTGGTGGGTATCCATTGTGCTGATCCAAATATAATGCACTTTTGAGTATTTCCTGCAGGGTAGGTATGGTCATGACAAATTCCCTCAGTGTTTGCTTGTCTGGAAGAGACTTAATTTCTCCCTCAGTTGGGAAACTTAGTTTTTCAGGATACAAAATTCTAAGCTGGCAGTTGTTCTTTTTAATAATATTGAAGATGGGACCTGAATCCCTACTGGCGTGTAAGGTCTCTGCTGTGAAGTCTGCAGTTAGCCTGATAGGTTTTCCTTTGTAGGTTAGTTGTTGCTTTCATCTTTCTGCTTTCAGAATTTTTTCCTTTATTTTGACTTTGGTCAAGTTGATTGCTATGTATTTTGGAGATCTCCTATTTGCTATGAATGTTCCTGGTGTTCAATGGCCATGTTGTTTCTAGATGTCTGAATTCTAGCAATACTAGGGAACTTTTCCTTAGTAAACCCCTCAAATAGATTTTCCATGATTTTAGCTCTTTCTTCTTCTCCCTCAGGGATACCTATAATTCATATATTGGCTTATTTCATATAGTCCCATATCTCTCTCAGTGATTGCTCGGTCTTTTTTATTTTCTTCTCTGCCTCTTTAAATGACCGGGTTAGCTTGAGAGTCTTGTCTTCAACTTCTGAGATTCTTTCTTCTCCTTGGTTTAATCTGTTGTTAAAGCTTTCTGCTGTGTTTTGAAATTCCCTAAATCAGAAGTCCCTAACTTTTTGCCACCAGGTACTGGAAGACAATTTTTCCACAGATGGGTTGAAAGGGGGAGGCAGAGCTCAGGCAGTGATGAAGGGGTTCTAAGCAAACTGACTGTTGTTTTTCCAGAACCTGTGACCACTGCAGTTGTCTCAACATAAAGGATGCTCTAAGCCTAGGCTTGTCATGAGCCTCACAAGGGATTCAAGTTTGATGTGGCCTTCTGGCCCAGATGGACCTAGGGAAGACCTAATAAGGGTACTAGGGCTGTGTGAGAATGCTGGCCAGGAACCTGAGTCCAGATGACTCACGCTTTAGTGGCCCTAATGGGTGTGCCTCCCAGCAGGTCTCAGCACAGGTGGGGTGGGTGTCCAACTGTAGCAAGAACAGCCAGAGTTGAGACTGGACCCTTTTGGGAACTGCTGTGGGAAGGAGGTTGGTAAGCCCATCTCTTTGGCTGATGGGCATGCATCCCCTAGCAGATCCCTATACAAATGGGCTAGTTTCTCAATTGAAGTAGAAGGGGCCAGAGTTGAAACTAGGTCCCCTTAGGATCTATTCTGGCATGTAGGCTGGCATGCCTGTCACTTAGGCTCAGAAGGGTGCATGTCTCACCTCATAGCAGGTCCCTGCACAGATGGGATAGTTTCCCTAACTATAGCAGGAGGTGTTGGAGCAGAGATTGGGCCCCTGTGGGATCTTCTATGAGGCAGAGGTTGGAGATCCTGGACCTCATATCTGAGGGGTGCATGTTACCCAGCAAGTTCCTGCACAGATAGGATAGTTCCCGAACTGCAGCAGGAGTGGCCAGATCTGAGGCTTGTTCCTCTCAGCATCTGCATTGGGCTAGAGGTTAGAGCTGAATTTCTTTGGCTCAAAGGGCATATGTCTTCCAGGAGGACGCTGGACATATGAAATAATTCCCTGATTGTATCAGGAGGGACTGGAGCTGAGACTGGGCCCCTTTGGGATCTCCTGTGGGATGGAGGCTGGAAAGCTCATTTCATTGGCCCAGCAGGTCTCAGCACAGATGGGATAGTTCCTTGACTAGAGAGGGCTGGAGCTGAGACTGGGCCCCCTCAGGATCTGCTATGAGACAGAGGTTGGTGAGTCCATCAGGGAGGCTTAGGCTCCTGGCCTGAGATACAGGTGAGTGTCCCTCTCAGTTCTTGTATGAACAATGTAGAGCCATAGGGCAACTTTCAAGTTCACTGCCATGACAGATGTCAGCAGGCAGACAAGCCTTTTTGACAATGCACTAGTGTGTGTGATTCCTTCTGCGTGCCTTGGCAGATGGTTTTGGTTGCAAGCTCAAGGCCAAGTAGGGCTGTAGCTAAGCCCCTCAGGGGACTAGGCCATTTCCTGGCTTGAACCCAGAAGCAAGCTTGGCAGATCAAATGACCCTTCTAGGTCTTGAGCTCCACTGGGATTAAACAAACTCCTACCTGAATCCTGAGGCTCCCGAAGAGAAACTTGACTGTGAATGGGTGAAGAATTTTTTGTTTTGTTATGGGGACATGAATGGATTACCCTCTATTATGCCATTCTAGTGATGTCACCCCTCCATATTTTTAATTACCATCACAATAAATATCTCTATAGCCAATATTCCCCCAATCTCCAGATTTGTATTTTCAACTGCCTAATTGATATTCCATAGTTATCTCAAACTCAATTTATCTAAAATTAAATTTATTATTTTATCCAATCCTGCTATGTCTTCTGTGTTTTATATCACTGCAGGTGTTACCTAATCCAGAAACTGGTGGATTATTTTAGACTCCTTCACACCTCATGTTTAATCATCCAACAAAGCTAACTTACTCTTTTTCTTTGCTCCTCTGAATCATTGCAATAATGATTACTCTCTCCCACACTCCAGTTGCATTCCCCTATTTCATACTTTTTTTCAAATGTAAATTCAAGCCTATTATTTCCCTATTTAAAAACTCTTCATTGGCTCCCCACTGTCTACAGGATGTAGTTCAATACTTTAGTCACCAGAGTCTTTGATGATTTGAATTCTTTATCATCTGGCTTCTTCCCACCTCTCCAACTTTCACTCTTGACCTCCTCATTGTCATGATGTTCTAATGATGTATTATTTATTTTAGCTATGACATTTCCCGTATTTTCGATGAGCTAATTCTTCTATTTAAAATTTCCTCCCACCTTTCTGCTTGGTAAACTACTAATCACCTACTCAGAAGTCTTTCATAAAGCTTTATTCCCTCTTATTTCACATTGGAAGGATCATTATTTCCTTTGTTCTGTTTTTTCATACTTAATGTTAATTCACGTATTGCACAGTCTTGATTTATTACTTGTTTGTTTCTTCCCATGAAATAAAACCTCCTTGTCATCAGATACCTTATTAATCTTTGATACTCCAGAGTTTAATGTATGCATTGGCATACGAGTACACACTCTGAAAGAAATGAACTTACACTGACATTCTTAGAATCAAGAAACCTTAAAGTATTTTATAACAATTGGTGAAACATCTTGAGGAACAAGGCAGAAAACAAAAACAACAGTACATTTAAGAGAGAGCTACATATACTTACTGGCATGATTAATGTTGCTTAGCAAGGATTTCTGAAGTAATGTTTCATATTATTAGAAGAGAGGGTGAACTGAATTCAGATCAGATACCCTGGAAATTCACCTTATTGTGGAAAGGAAGTCTGTTTGTTTTGAGAAGCAATTGAATAGATGATCTGAACAATGATAAGAAGAAAAAAGCAAGGGGAAAAAGGGGGAAGAAAGATAGCAGAGATGTTCAGAGCAGAAAAGGAAGAGGAGACGTCAAAGAACAACAACAAAGGGAATATGAATTGGAGGTCTTTTGATTCATACTTTGCTGAGGTAGAAGCTAGTTCACATAGAAGAAGTCAGACTGGGAACTATGCCTTTTACTTTAAACTTTAAATTATTTAACTTTAAATTATTTAAAGTTTTCCTGTGAATTACAAAGCATGACACTCCAAGTCTTGATAGCCTGCACTCTAGCAATAATGATGAATCTTTTTGTGGTCTCATTAAAAAGCTCTGTTATGGGCAGTCATTCAGAGTACCTAGATAACAAATTTTTCCTTGTAATAATCTTATATTTAAATAACAAAAAGCTTTCCCCTTGGAGCCTAGAACAATGTGTGCATAGAAATTTCTTGAATATTGAGGAGAAAAATCCAACTTGTTTTGTATTTTATTTTGCACAAAATCTGTGGGCTTTGGAGCAACTTTGTTATACAGAGATAATTATTAGGCCCCACATCAGGCATCGGCACCAGCAAAATCCTCACATTTCTAAGGTTTTAAAAATTGCTCATAACTTCATCAGCAACAGAAGTAATAGTATCTTCACGTCTTTGACTCTGGAAAAAAATTAACCTTTTATAAATCATATGTTTCTTAAAATTATACAAGTAATGGATAATTCTTTTAAAATATAAGCAATACTGATGTTTACAGAGTAAAATCTTAAAGTGCCATTTTTCCCTATTTCTCTCCTATTCCCTCTTCAATCTACTTTCTTAATTCCTACTGGATCACTTATAATTTTTGGTATTTTCCATACTTTTGTAATACAAATATTCAAGGTCTTCTTGAAAATAAAAGAAATGCCAGCACCCCAAAAGTCACCCTACCCTCTTATGATATTTCTCAACTATTAGTTGTTCCTTCCCTCCAAGGCAACTGTCATTTTGACTTTCAGGTAATCAATCCTATTTTTTCTTTCTAGTTTTATCAACTAAGCTTACATCCCTAAACACTATAATTTAGCTTTAGTTTTGCCTGGTTTCCAGCTTCCTATGACTGGTATAAAAAAGTATGCATTCTTTTGAGTTTGCCTTTTTATAGTCTACATTATATGTGTAAGGTTCATCCATGTTAGTAAGTGTAGGTATAGGTAATTTTAATTGCTATGTAGAATTTTATTAAGAGTAATACATCTCAAATTATTCACTACTCACCCATCAGTGTTGTTTCCACTTTGGAGCTCTTATGAATAACACTGCTATACGTATTTTTAGAAGTTTATCTTGGTATATATGTGCAAACATTTATGCTGAGTTCATACCAAGGACTTAAATTACTGATCATAGGGTATACACATCTTAATATTTAGTAGATAATGCCCAAAGGTTTTAAAGTTACAGTAATTTATATTGCAACCAGGAGAGATTTTATTATTCACAGTCTTTACTATCACTTGGAATTGTCAATAT